TCTAGAAAATAATTATTATATAATTAAGAAAATATTATGATATAAAAATTTTCAAGTTTTTTGAAATTATTCATCTTTTATTTCTCTGGATAAATAAATTATTGTATAATATTTATTATATAATACTTTGTTTCTAAAGATGCGTGAAGTAAAAATTAACTCACCTGTTTGCAGGATTTTTGGTGTTGTCTGAACAAATGATCGAAAATAGCTCCGTACTCTTCATGAATTCTCTGCATCTCATTTATGTGCTCCGCCACCTTCTCCATGCCTTTGAGCGCCTCTGCGATTTATACATTCGCGATTAAATTTTTGATGACGCTTGAAACTTGTTCATTACATTAGTCGCACGATATCGCAGTAATTACCGATCAAGTGTTGGTGTTCTTCGCTTCGTTCATCGGTGAGATTTCTAAGCTGCTGCAACAGCAGCGGATACTTGAGTATTCTTTGTATAGGTTTTATCAAGTACGATTCTAAGGTCGACGAGTGTTGCTGCCGAGGATTTCTCGCTTGCAGGAACTCTTGTAAAGCTTGATTTCCCTCGTCTAAAATTGTCAATTACCCCTAATAATTATCGGGAGATTGCCTCGGGTTTTACCGTAATTATATGAAACGGAATTTGTATTAAAGGAAAAATTGACTCGTCGAGTCAGAAAGTGCATTTCTAGGACATGTTGTGCATGAATTATGAATATTATGAATAATATGTCAGAGACAAATATTTTTTGCTCTGTATCACACTAGATTACACTTTAAAACGAATAAACCAACAAACGGATATAATGTTTAATTAGCATATTAAAGTTTTAAACGACGAAATAAAATTTCAAGGAATAAAAAATACGTGTATTGTAGGGCATGGTCAAATAATTTCTTTGAATTTAACATGGCGTAGCCTCTATTTATGGCCGCAAAAATGTCACTCATTCGCGGAAGGTTGACATGAATAATAAATCAGCGAACTTTCCGGGAACGACATATTTATAGAGAGTAACGAGTGAGGTTGGACACAGTTATTCCTGGCGAGTGAATTATTGATCGCGAAGGATCAGGCGTGTTTACGTGGAGGAAGAAATCGCCGAAGGTCATCTCTTGCGAAAAAGAGATGTATACTTTAAGAGAAACCTTACTTGGATGTAAAACTTTCTGAGCCTTCGAATGACTGGCGCAAAACGAGCTGTATAGCTTGAAGTGATTTACGTAATATAAGAAGGCACTTCCAATGGAAAACAGGACTCCCTGTAACAGCCATAAGAAATATACATATATAAATTTTGCCCGGAATGCATTCTTATCCAAGTTGCGTTATCAGTTTTCGATATCGCTGACGATATATTCGAGCTATTAAAATACGATAAATGTCGATTTTCATATTTAGAAAAGTGCGAAATATAAAGATTCTAACAAAGAGAGAGATTTAATATATAACTTTATTCTAACATATATGTTGTGCTATAAAAATAATAAGATCTAACAATAAATATTA